GTTGTAAACAGTGTTGGCGGAACACTGCTTCCCCCTTCTGAGCTGCCGGATGGTTTGCCAGAATCTCTTTGAGGCCGACCGAAAGTTTTGCCGTGGCGACTGCCAGAGCCGCATTTCGCTTGACCCGCCGGTACCCGTCAGCTGCTTCAGTTTGCTGTTGTTGTTCTGGTTTATGACATCAGATCCAGGAGAGCTGAACAGGATGTTTGCTGATTTTTAAAGTCTTTCTACATTCCTCTTCCTCAAATACTGAACTCTGAACTTTGTTAGTTTGAATCTTAATTTGAATCTTAGCTTGAATCTCAACATTAAGATGTTTGATGTTCATAGCCACTTTAGAAGATGTTCTATTCTTTTTTATTTAATTTTATTCTATAATAAACACATGATTACATTATGGGTCCATTTATTTCTGTTGAAAATGATGCCACTGAACAGAAGTGGAAGCCGTGGCCTAATGGAGCTCAAAGCGGTCAAGCTAATGTGAAATAAGCACCAAAAAAAGAGCCGGACGTTTAGACACATTACGCAAAAAATATTCAGCTATTGTAGCTGACGGTGGAGTTTCACATGACTTTACTACAGAGTCGCTTCACATCAGCTCATCTCTCATGTCATTACGGAAACAGTTCTGAAGAGTTTGTCTTTTCATATTTGTGGACTGAGACCGCTGAAGATGTTTCACAGCATTTGGTTCTGTTTGTGTTTGTGTCGTCTGGCTGGTGAGTTTGAAATGTGTTAATGTCCGTTATTTAAATCACTGAAGCCCAAACAGCTTTAGTTTCAGTCGTGACGTGATTCTCGTCTGAAGTTAAAGTGTTTTCTGTTTTTGATGTTGTGGAGCTCAAAGCTCCTGCATCAGAAAAAAAAAGGAACTTTCTGTTTGTTCTTCAGGTGTGTTTGCTGATTCAGATGCAGTGAAGATGGTGATGGAGGGAGATTCAGTCTCTCTAGAATCTGGTCTTACTGAAATACAGACACGTGATCTGATAACGTGGACATTTGGACTTTCAGAGACTCTTATAGCTCAGATCTATAAAGAGGCTGGAAGATTCTCCACAATTGATGGTACTGACGGGAGATTCAGAGACAGAGTGAAGCTGGATCATCAGACTGGATCTCTGACCATCACAAACACCAGAAACACAGACTCTGGACTTTATCGGATAATCTTCATCAGGAGCAGAAAGACCACATACACATTCAATGTTACTGTCTATAGTGAGTCACAATTACACTGCAGTTTGTGCTGCTAGTCTTCATAATAATTATACACAAATAATTAAACAACCTAGTCATTTATTATCACAGGCACATTTATTGATGACGTAAGGCTTTTTTAAAAACTATTGAAATGTAAAGAAATCTCAACTGGAACCAAGACTGGTCAAATTTACAGCATTTTACAAACAATCTGATATAGAAAGTTAAAAATAAATCTGGAATGTAATAGGCTAAATAGGGGCTATACATTGAAGTGTTACTACAGTTTACTTAATTCAGCTACTTTAATCCTATGACAAATAAAACAGCTGTAACTGATATTTAGCGTTACTGACTGATCTGAACTAAACTCATGTTTGATGTTTTTATTCCTCAGACTCTCTCCAAAGTTGGGACTCTATTGAAGCTGTGATCCGATTGGTCGTCACTGCTCTGGTGGGCGTGGCTGCTGCAGCTGCTGTTGTTGTTCTGGTTTATGACTTCAGATCCAGGAGAGCTGAACAGAATGTTTGATTGCTGGTTTTTAAAGTCTTTCTATATTCCTCTTCCTTAAATACTTCATTTTGTTTGTAAGTTTAAATCTTAATTTAGTATGAATCTCAACATTAAGGTGTTTGATGTTCATATCCACTCTAGATGTTCTATTCTATTTTATTATTCTACAATAAACATTTGATATGATTACAGCAGTGTTTCCCATTCCTGGAGATATTCAATATCCTGATTCCTGGTATGTTTGTATTCATTGATTATGTTTGTATGAATATTAATGATCTGTTCCTGCAACATAAAGCCATTAGAGAAACTCTGAAATCAGTCTGAGAGGAGAAATAATTGAGACATTTTATAAGAAATGATCAACAAGCCAAACACTCTCAGGATCTCATGATGAAACGGCTGCTTTCACACACTTTTAACTTCTCTATTCAGTAATCATGTTATGGGTCAGTTTATTTCTGTTGAAAACGACACCATTGAACAGATCTGCAGGAAGTTGAAGCGTACTGGAGCTCAAAGCAGTTAAAGTTCGCATGTTGTGAAATGAGCAAAAAGTAGGTAAACGGTCACACTCATCAACACAGAATAAACAGGCAGTTATTTAAGCCGAGATGAGTTTCACATCACTTTACAATATATAGCATATATAGCGGGAGTAGGTGAACAAAGAGTGAATATATAGCATATATAGCAGGAGCGGACAAACAGAGTGAATATATAGCATATATAGCAGGAGCGGACAAACAAAGAGTGAATATATAGCATATATAGCAGGAGCGGACAAACAAAGAGTGAATATATAGCATATATAGCGGGAGCGCGCGAACAAAGAGTAAATATATAGCATATATAGTGGGAGCGGGCGAACAAAGAGTGAATATATAGCATATATAGCGGGAGCGGGCGAACAAAGAGTGAATATATAGCATATATAGCGGGAGTGGGCAAACAAAGAGTGAATATATAGCATATATAGCGGACAGCGAGTGAACAGAGTGAATATATAGCATATATAGCGGATAGCGGGCGAACAAAGAGTGAATATATAGCATATATAGCGTGAGCGGGCGAACAAGGAGTGAATATATAGCATATATAGCATGAGCGGGCGAACAAAGAGTGAATATATAGCATATATTGCGGACAGCGCGTGAACAAAGAGTGAATATATAGCATATATAGCGGGAGTGGGCAAACAAAGAGTGAATATATAGCATATATAGCGGGAGTGGGCAAACAAAGAGTGAATATATAGCATATATAGCAATATATATCATATATAGCGGGAGCGGGTGAACAAAGAGTTAATATATAGCATATATAGCGAGAGCGGGCGAACAAAGAGTGAATATATAGCATATATAGCGGACAGCGGGCGAACAAAGAGTGAATATATAGCATATATAGCGTGAGCGGGCGAACAAAGAGTGAATATATAGCATATATAGCAGGAGCGGACAAACAAAGAGGGAATATATAGCATATATAGCGGGAGCGCGCGAACAAAGAGTAAATATATAGCATATATAGTGGGAGCGGGCGAACAAAGAGTGAATATATAGCATATATAGCAGGAGCGGGCGAACAAAGAGTGAATATATAGCATATATAGCAGGAGCGGGTGGGAGCGGAATATAACCTTGCGGGAGCGGGGAAAAGAAACAGTCCTGCGCAGACCTCTATGTTACAGCACTAAATAACCTGTAGTAGATTCCTCATTACTGTGACACATGAAACGAGAAACACGACTTGTAATCAGAAAAAAGTACCTCTTCAGTAATCTACTTACTGTAGCTACTCGACACAACCGTGGGAAGCGATGACGAAATCACGTGATATTTGGCAGCTCCGTCAAGGGTTGCGTGCTGAACGTGCTGTCATAGCTTGGAATACAAATGAAGTCAGGGCTCTGAGAAAATCGCTTTGTTACTTTTGTCCCAAGTTCATTTCGGCCTCCGCACGCCCCTATTAATCAGATTTCATTTTAAAATGTACATTTCAAATCTTTACTTTAGTAAGCCATCATAAAGTTATTTAAAAGTCTTAATCTTACTGTTTCTGTTTGTTCTTCAGGTGTGTTTGCTGATTCAGATGCAGTGAAGTCAGTGTCAGTGATGGAGGAAGATTCAGTCTCTCCACAGACTACCACTGAACTACAGACAGAGAATCTCATTAAGCGGACATTTGGACGTCCAGAGACTCGTATCGCTGAAATCAATAAAAAGGCTGGAATCTTCGACACATTTGATGGTCCTGACGGGAGATTCAGAGACAGACTGAAGCTGGATCATCAGACTGAATCTCTGACCATCACAAACACCAGAAACACACACTCTGGACTTTATCAAGTAATCATCATCAGGAGCAGGAAGACCACATACAGATTCAATGTTACTGTCTCTGGTGAGTCATATACAGTTTCATTTGTGCTGCCGGTCATCATAATAATTTTACACTAAAAAAATGAATTAATATTTATAAAACAAACCACTTAGTCATTTAAGATCACATACACATTCATTCATTCATGCACTTATTTTTTGCCTTTTTGCTTAATTCCAGTGGTGGACGAAGTACACGAATCAAGTACTTGAGTAAAAGTACAGATCCGTATAATAAAATATTACTCCAGTAAATGTACTCAGTTTTCAATTTTACTCGCGTGAAAGTACAAAAGTACCGATAGATGAATGTTTATTTTGCAGTTTTATATAGGGTACTTTTATCATTTGATTTTATATTAGCATATCTTTTTTTATAATCCTACTGCTCAAAATACCTGGGATTTTCCCAAAATAACCAATAAGGAAATAATGAATATAATAAGGAAAATATAATTCGATTTTCATAATGATTTGTCTGTGGTGTAAAAACACCCCTGGCCAAATGCCCCCAGAGGGCATCACTACCCACTTTGATAATTACTGTAGTTACCATGTTCTGAACATCACATCCTTTCTTTTCCCTCAGATGTAAACCCTATATATTATAAGGAGTAACGATATGTTTTATGAAATGTAGTGAAGTAAAAAGTACGATCTTATGCTTTGGAATGTAGTGACGTAAAAGTAAAAGTTACTCAAAATAAAACTACTCCAGTAAAGTACAGATACTTGAAAAATGTAAAACTACTAAATGTAAAACTACTTCGTTACTGTCCACCACTGCTTAATTCGAGCTACTTGATAAATAAAACATCTGTAACCGATATTTAGCGTTACTGACTGAGCTGAACTGAACTCATGTTTGATGTTTTTATTCCTCAGACTCTGTCTGAGGTTGTGGTTCTACTGAAGCTGTGGTCCGATTGGTCGTTACTGCTCTGGTGGGCGTGGCTGCTGTTGTTGTTCAGGGGTACGTTCAAGCTCAAACCGGTGCGCAACGTTTTGCTACGGTTTCCGGGTTGAACGACATGTTTCCTGGGGCCTGTTCTTCATACATCACTTATTACATCCGAGATTAAATGTCACATCCAAGATGATACCATCGCGCTAATCAGGATCTAGCTAATTCGGTTCTTCGAACGCACCTGTTGTTGATGATTAGTATGGCTGGATTGAGTTATCTGAGATAACTGCGCGTTCATGGGTTGGTTTAAAAGGGGCTATGTATCGATACTCGAAACCACGATCAGAAATGCAGCGATTGGCTGGCGGCAAGACAGCAACGTAATGACATCATATAATTAAAAAAGCAACCAAAATATCCACAGAAGTATTATAAAATGCCAAAATGTAGTTTATTGCTGCTCATTCTACACCCAGTGGAGGGTAATGTGGTAGGTCTATATAGCATACAATTATAAAATCATATTTAGATACCGGTATGTAGGTCTACATTAATGTTACGTTGTAGTTTAGGTTAAACACAGATAAGCACAAACCGCATTATTACATTCATAAATAACACCGGTAAATAAAGCAAAATGTTATAATATACAAACAATAAACACAATACCTAGCCTATAGGCTATTTTGAACGGTTTCAGAAGAAAACAAGAATGAAAAATATAAGTTGCTAAACAAGCCAAAACGAATTAGGCTAATCAGTGGCGGCGCTAGGGCGGGGCTTGACGGGGCCCATCAGAAACTTGCTTAGCCCCGGCACAGTAATAACTACTGTATTATTATTACTTTTGTAATGCGTTACTCCCAACACTGGTATTAAAGACTATCCCAACACTGGTATTAAAGACTACACAACATTATTATATTATCTTTAAATTATTTTTTTAATTATTATTATTTTAAATTATTGTCCCTGGATCAGTAGGGTAAGATTTAAGTTTACCGAGCTGTTGCTATGACAGCAACTCCGGGATGAGCTTCGAAGAACCAACCAATCCAAGATCAGGCCAAATCATCAACAATCAAATCCAGCTAACTGAGTTAGCGACGTACGAAGAACGGGCCCCAGGAAACGGTGTGCAACGGGGTTTGAAATATGTTTTCTCTTGCTTGGTGGGTGTATCAAAAATGTCAGCCCAATCAGCAGCGACATGTATATAAACACTGTAACATTGAGCGTATTTTGCAGTATTAAACATGTATTTATATAGATTTCATCAGGGTCTGAAAATTCTTCAAAAATAACACAAAGAATGGCCTTCTCAGCTGCCATAGCTGCAACTCTTGCCTCATCAGAACAGGGTGTTCAACGCACCACCGTTTCTGTTTAAAAAACGTTTTGCAACGTTTTGTCGGGGCTGAACGCAGCCCGGGTTTATGACATCAGATCCAGGAGAGCTGAACAGGATGTTTGATTGCTGATTTTTAAAGTCTTTCTACATTCCTCTTCCTAAAATACTGAACTCTGAACTTTGTTAGTTTGAATCTTAATTTGAATCTTAGTTTGAATCTCAACATTAAGATGTTTGATGTTCATATCCACTTTAGAAGATGTTCTATTCTATTTTATTTCATTCTATTCTATAATAAACATATGATTACAGCAGTGTTTCTTGTTCCTGGCACAGATATTCAATATCCTGGCATGTTTGTATTCATTGATTGTGTTTGTATGAAAATTAATCAAATTAAAATATAAGAGAACACTTTTCTACACTCAGTTGATGATCTGCTCCTGCAACATAAAGCCATTAAAGAAACTCTGAAATCAGACTGATTGGAGAAACAATTGAGACATTTGATAAGAAATGAACAACAAGCCAAACACTCTCAGGATCTCATGATGAAACGGCTGCTTTAAGACACGTTTGACTTCTCTATTCAGTAATCATGTTATGGGTCAATTTATTTCTGTTGAAAATGATGCCACTGAACAGAAGTGGAAGCCGTGGCCTAATGGAGCTCAAAGCGGTCAAGCTAATGTGAAATAAGCACCAAAAAAAGAGCCGGACGTTTAGACACATTATGCAAAAAATATTCAGCTATTGTAGCTGACGGTGGAGTTTCACATGACTTTACTACAGAGTCGCTTCACATCAGCTCATCTCTCATGTCATTACGGAAACAGTTCTGAAGAGTTTGTCTTTTCATATTTGTGGACTGAGACCGCTGAAGATGTTTCACAGCATTTGGTTCTGTTTGTGTTTGTGTCGTCTGGCTGGTGAGTTTGAAATGTGTTAATGTCCGTTATTTAAATCACTGAAGCCCAAACAGCTTTAGTTTCAGTCGTGACGTGATTCTCGTCTGAAGTTAAAGTGTTTTCTGTGTTTGATGTTGTGGAGCTCAAAGCTCCTGCATCAGAAAAAAAAGTTTTATTCAGAATCACCACAAAGATTCTGTTAATAATCAGTTTTGTTTGGATATTAGTAATTTTTCAAAATGTAAATTTCGAACCGTTTACTTTAGAAAACCATCATAAAGTTATTTAAAGTCTTAATCTGAGACAAACCCTGTTTCTGTTTGTTCTTCAGGTGTGTTTGCTGGTCCAGACGCAGTGAAGTCAGTGTCAGTGATGGAGGGAGATTCAGTCTCTCTACAGACTAACACTGAACTAAAGAGAGATGATCTGATATCATGGACATTTGGACTTTCAGAGAATCATATCGCTCAGACCTTTGAAGAGGATGGATTCTTCTACACATATGATGATGGTCCTGATGGGAGATTCAGAGACAGAATGAAGCTGGATAATCAGACTGGATCTCTGACCATCACAGACATCATAACCACAGACTCTGGACTTTATCAAGTAACAATCAAAGGCGCGAAACTACAAAAGACATTCAGATTCAACGTTACTGTCTCTGGTGAGTCACAATTACACTATAATTTGTGCTACTAGTCTTCATAATAATTATACACAAATAATTAAACAACCTAGTCATTTATTATCACAGGCACATTTATTGATGCACGTAAATGTTTTGCCTTTTTAAAATAGTATTTAATTTGCTCATTACTTAATGACATTTTCCTCTCCCACACTGTGTGTGATGGACTACCCTAGAATTTCATCCCAACTAATGCTTATCTAACTTTTCTTCCCTGAATAGTAAAAACCTTTCATGTTTGTTATCTTTTTCTGGCTGATGGTGCCTTCACTGCATCAACGGTATTTATTTATACTGAACATTTTATAGCACACCTCTGCATGACGATAGGTCTTCAGCCGACCCTTTTCGTCTCATGTGCATCTGATTGACAGATAAACCGTGCGCTCTTATTTCAGATTCCCTTTCAAGGGAACTTCAAACTGCGTCCTCTAGGGGTCGCTATGGGGAGCACCTTCAGTGTGACCGGTGTCTGAAGCATATATCTAAAAACCACAATAACATTGGCCGGCGACAGCCCATGACGTCACTACCGTTGCGACTATAGTATAAATAGGCGCCGGGAGAACACGTCATCGTCTTCTTCGTCTTCAATGTGATGCATTCGTGGGACTACTGAGGGGGATGTGAGTATTTCACCATTTACCCGAGTTTGTAGATAGTGGTTGCATGAGTGCGTTCGCCTCTCGAGGGAATAGCGATGCATTCGCGCCAGCAGTTTTCGTTCACGCTTGATTTCCGAGGTAATCTAGCGGTTGGGCGGAGCGTATTTAGCCCCCGTGGGAGCTAAGGACCTGGCGGGAAATTTCTCGCTATCAGTAATTTCCTTTTGTTTATATAGGAAATGTATAGTGTGGATCTGTTTAGGGATCTGTTTTAGTGGATCAGCAGTTTTTGGACAGATGGTTTATATCATGTCCTTCTCAGATAACCATATTATACTGCACTCCGGCTTGAAAAAGAAAAATCCATTCTCGTCCCGCATCCACAGATTCCAGCATACTAGTTATGCCAACATCGAGGGGATGCGTGAGAATGGTATGAGAAGATGCCACCTGTTGAAGAGACACTGGCCTGCTATCTCTCCATGGGGGAGACATCTTCTCTTAAGATCTGTGGGTGAGTCTGGTGGTTATCGGGTTGAAAGAGAAGGGCTTTCTTCTTGATGCGCCGGGTTCCCCTTCTGAGCTTTTCGGCACTTCTGTCGAGATGGTGGTCGTGAGGTTTAAGGAGGCCAAGACGTGCTCGGCTGCCTTTATATCCTTCATTCCACGAGGGTCCAGGCTTCGGACTTCACCTCCAGCCTATATCATGAGCCTGAGTCATGCGCGGGAGCCATGGTTGGTGAGTACGATCCATTTTTATCTACTCTACTGCTAGTTCTTGTGTATTTGATGCTAGCCTTTCTCTGCAGCGCTACTCGGACCTGTTCTGTATTTCTGACTTTAGGTTTGACCCACCTGCTAAGTCAGGACCTCCTGCTGTTGACCGATTACAGTGATAGTTCACTCATCGGTTCTGGTTCCAGGCTGGTGATAGTCCTCATCTTCGGCTTGGACATGCAGCCTGGGCTTCTGAGGAAGTCTCCCAGCATCAGGTCCCCAGTATAATGCTGCAACCTCAGGACCTGTGGGTCCTTCTCGTGGGCTAGTACTCTTCTGAGTACATGCTTTGCGACATGCTCCCTATCCTCTGGCCAGGTGCGAGCTACTCATTTCTCACCCTGAGAAGTCTCCCGAGATTTGAATCGTTCCTTAACCTTCATGCACGTTCTCTGAGCTAGAGCTCCTCTCGCTGACGTGTTGAGGAGCTCAATGCTCCACAGACGGTCGGCCCCGTGGGTCCTCACTGTCACACTGCCCTTATGGTTGAACCAATAATCACCCCTCTGTGGAGTGGGCTGGATTACACTGCGTTCCCTGAGGTAAGAGGTATTTGTGTTTCTGTGGAAACCCCTCCTTTGTGCTTCTACTCTGAGGAGCAGCAAGCTCTATACGCATGAATGGTTGGGTCCCGCTATTTCTTCAGATTCTATTGGGTCTGGTTATACGGGACCCACACTCTCTATCGAGACAGAGAGCGCATGAGACCGTGTCCAGCTGCACCAGTGAACTGTCTCTTATTGGGCTGCTGGGTTACCCCCTTTAATCTAGCCCGCCCGCCCCCCCGCCCCCCCTTGGACTCCACTAAACTAGTGTGTCTCTGTTGACACACTTTTAAAGCATCGCTCCCCTCACTGTTGAGGGTTATTTGTGAGCATGGTGCTTTCTTCCGAGCGTTCGAGTTTTCTCCCCTTCGGAGGAGTTGAATTCCCCGCTCCATGGGCTGTTCTCGTGGTGGTGTTTAGCAGTGCTCCCCTCTATCAGAGGGTTGCCTATGAGCACGCTACCCTCTTTTCTGAATTCGGAGTTCTCCTCTCACGTGGAGAGTTGAGTTCTCTGTTTTCCCAGAGCACTTGGAACTGGCAACATCAGGCGAACTAGGCCCTTCCTCTGCCTCTCTGATGCGCTGAGTTTTTTGCTAGGCTTGCAGTACGCTTACCTTTCTGATTTCTAATGAACATGCTGTAGGTTGAGCCCCCTCTCAGCTGAGAGCTGGGTGTTATGCTCCCTCAGTTAGGTAACTTACTGCTAGCCATTCCAGCATTACACCATAGATTGTGTTGATGACTTCTCAAACATATTGTTCTTGGGATGCACCATTTCCATCTATGGGCTGCTCTTTCAGAGTGCCATGAGGGCCCCTTAGAACGGTATCTTTAAAATCCATGTTATGGTAAGTGTGCACACGAAGTCCCTGTGCACTTTCTAAAATCCACACTGTGGTAAGTTTGCACGCTAAGCATTTGCATTCTTTCTAAAATCCTGTATGGTAAGGGCTACGCGCGGCGACTTCGTGCCCTTCCTTGAGTTGGTTAAGAGTTCCACCTTCGGCACCACTCCACCTTGTATCCTCAGGATACCTACTTTAACAGGGTGTTGCTACTAGGGGTCTGTTGAGACAGTTCCTTCAGCAAGCTCATTCAGAGCAAGCAGTAGCCCCCGGGTGACAGGCCAAGACCTATTATGATTCTAGGCACTTGGTCATATCCCCTTAAAGGAATATATTCTTGATTCCAAGCCTTGAGCTCTACCCCAGGCCCAGGAGTTCTGGCCCTAACAGGTAAATTTTGGGGGTATGTAGCCTAGGCCTTTGGCCGTAGGGGATAATGTCACTGACAGCCGTCTAACGTCCCAGGGGCAACTCCCATGGCTATGGTAGAGTTGGTACTTAGTGCTCGCCGTGGTTTTCTGGCATGCACTCCCCTCAGTGGGTATACCGTTCCCCATAGCGTCCCCTAGAGGATGCAGTTCGAAGTTCCCTTGAAAGGGAACGTCTCTGGTTACTTATGTAACCATGGTTCCCTGAGTAGGGAACGAGACACTGTAGAGACAGATAGAGACGGTTTCTGTCCTTAATGTTGTAGTTAATTTTGCAGATTTGGCTTTGTACATTCAGTTAAAAAGGACAAACCTCCTCATTCAACTGAGCTGTGTACATGTACTTTATCAAATATATTAGGCCTATGTTCTTTCTTGCTCCATCCATGCAATAAATGCATGTCCTCAATGAATGAGCATATTTGCTCAGGTCAATGGTGTGACCCATTTCAGACACAAAATGTAAATTTTTGAGGGTTTGAGAAAATAATTAAAATGAAGACTAACAGAATCTACATTAAACACTCACTGACTTATTCTCTCATGTTTCCAGCTCATCTGTCTGTTCCTGTCTTCAGCAGAATCTTTTCTTCATCATCATCATCATCATCATCATGTTCACTGTTGTGTTCAGTGTTGAATGTGGGTCACGTGACTCTCTCCTGGTACAAAGGAAACAGTTTATTGTCCAGCATCAGTGTGTCTGATCTCAGCATCAGTCTCTCTCTACCTCTGGAGGTGGAATATCAGGATAAAAACACCTACAGCTGTGTGCTCAACAATCCCATCAGCAACCAGACTCAACATCTGGACATCACTCAACTCTGTCACACATGTTCAGGTACAGCGGCGCTGATATTAACGTTTATTACACCGCTTTGTGGAAATCTCGATTCTGATTGGTCAATCGCTTCATTCAAGTATTTCCTAATATTCAATGTCATCCATAGAAATGCTGTATATCACATCTTAGATATCTTAGAGATGTCTATCAGATGTTTGTACACAGCAGATGCTTTTCAGATGAAGCGATCTTTAACAGACATCTTGCAGGCATATGTGTGCTGTCTGAGTAGAAATTCCTCTTTTTCAAAACTTTTTAAATTTAAAGAAACCTTGACGTGCAGGAACCAAGAGTGATCAAAATTACACAATTGTACAAAAAAATCGGATAAAAAAAGTAAAAAATAAATCTGCAATGTAATAATGAGCTATTTGCCATGATTGAAATTGAAATGATAAATTGAAATGTTACAACAGTTTACTTAATTCAGCTACTTTAATCCTAGGACAAATAAAACAGCTGTAACCGATATTTAGCGTTACTGACTGATCTGAACTGAACTCATGTTTGATGTTTTTATTCCTCAGACTCTGTCCGCGGTTGTGGTTCTACTGAAGGTGTGATTCGATTGGTCGTCACTGCTCTGGTGGGCGTGACTGCTGCTGCTGCTGTTGTTGTTCTGGTTTTTGACATCAGATCCAGGAGAGCTGAACAGAATGTTTGATTGCTGATTTTTAAAGTCTTTCTATATTCCACTTCCTTAAATACTGAACTCTGAACTTTGTTTGTTAGTTTAAATCTTAATTTAGTTTGAATCTCAACATTAAGGTGTTTGATGTTCATATCCACTCTAGATGTTCTATTCCATTTTATTTTATTCTATATAATAAACATTTGATATGATTACAGCAGTGTTTCCTTTTCCTGACACAGATATTCAATATCCTGGTATGTTTGTATTGATTGATTATGTTTATATGAATATTAAAGGAGTCATATGATGCAATTTAAATTTTTCCTTCGTAAAAAGACAGTATAAGTCATTATAATCCATAATTATGTCCCCACTGGATGCAACAAATGCCTCGTTTATAATGGGTTTTAATGTTTTTATCGCACCGCTCCGGCCTGACGGCATCACAGTATGGTAGGGGCGTAACATTTCCGTCACATGCTTAAGGTATTCTGCCAATCACAATGCACTGAATAACTGGCTAACAAGGAGAAACATTTGAGACATTTGATAAGAAATGAACAACAAGCGAGCTGAAGACAGTTACAGGAGAGAGCAGAGCCAAACACTCTCAGGATCTCATGATGAAACGGCTGCGTTCACACACTTTTAACTTCTCTATTCAGTAATCATGTTATGGGTCAGTTTATTTCTGTTGAAAACGACACCATTGAACAGATCTGCAGGAAGTTGAAGCGTACTGGAGCTCAAAGCAGTTAAAGTTCGCATGTTGTGAAATGAGCAAAAAGTAGGTAAACGGTCACACTCATCAACACAGAATAAACAGGCAGTTATTTTAGCCGAGATGAGTTTCACATCACTTTACTACAGAGCAGCCTCACATCAACGCATCTGTCATTTTATTACTGAAACCGTTTTATTACTGTTTGTCTCTTCATATTTGTGGACTAAACCTGTTGAAGATGTTTGACAGATTTTGGTTCTGTTTGTGTTTGTGGCGTCTGGTTGGTGAGTTTGAAATGTGTTTTTATGACTACAGTTCTTTCTTCCGATTCAGTGTTTGTTATTTCTAAATGTCCCATATGTAAAAAGACTGAAGCTCAAAAACAGCATTAGGGGCCATCCACACAGAACACGTCTTTGCGTCTAAAAATGGGGGACATAGTGCTCAGGAATGTATTTTTTTAAAAGCGCAGCACAGAACACAAAGGTCTCGAGACACACTTTGATACAATAATGGAAACAATAGTAGGGATGGGTGTATCGATCCTGAAGTATCGATATTGATACTGATGCGAGTATCGAAAGTATCGATACTCAAATAATATCGATACTAAGGTGTGTTTTTTTTACCAGTGATTTAGATTTTTTGTTAAATAATATAATGCGTACAATATGCATTGAATTGGACGAATAACCTATGTTAGCGAAACCTATGTTTCCTGCTCATCTGAACAGTGTTGCCAACTGCTTTCAATTGAAAGTAGCTAAAACTGGTAGCTAAATGTCACTAGATGACATCACAATGGCAAATTCGCTGATCTATATAAAGATGAACGTATCAGTGGGCAAGATGAGAACTTAGATAAGGTTTGTCCAAGAAGTTGCTATATTTGTCCCTAAACTTTTGAAAAAAGTCTCAAAAGGGGTGGGGAAGTCGCTAAATCTAGCTACAAAGTAGCTAAATTGGCAACACTGCATCTGAACACATGTAAATGATGCAAGACAGAACTAATCAATCACAGAGCGTTCGCTCACTGCTGACAGTGCATTCAATCAGGGCTGCATTTACCAAGTGTCATAAGAAACCATTGATGCTTTTGGGAACGGCAGCCCAGGCCAGAACTATGCTTATCAGAGGACAGAAAAAACATATATGTTTGAGCTTTTTCACAATAAACAAATTGAAATTGTAGCCTACATAGTTAGTGCAATTAGATTTATTTAAACTGAACGTTAAAAGTTCATATTGATCGTGTTCTACGGTGACCATATTTTAGTTTTTCAAAAAGAGGACAGTAGGGGGCGGGGTTAGTGGGCGGGGGCAGGGGCGGGGCTTCGCCTA